CTGACGTAATTCACTTTTCGGATATCGGACTGATGTCGCATCATGTAACCTTACTTTACACATAATACCAACAACAACATTAATAATAATAATAATTATTATTATAATAATAACAATAATAATAATAATAATTTTCAAGAAAAAAGGGCTCTGGTATCAGGAATCAGTATCGTATCGTCAGATATCCAAATTCAGGTATCGGAATTGGATTGGAGCTGAAAAAAAGTGGATCGGTGCACCTCTTGTATTATGTGCGAGACCCAATTAATAAAAGGGATGGCCTTTATAATTGAGACCCGGCTTTTAGCCTAATTTTAATTCTACAGTAAGTTTGTTTTTCTGTGCTTGAAAATTAAGTGCGACTAGTCGACTCGACTCCAAATTTGTCTTTACTAGTCGACTAGTAAACAAAAACTGAAAATGTGTATAGTTGCCTTATCAATGAGAAATTCATCGAGTACTATCATTATTATTACAACGTATCCTCATACAATAGTTTGTATGATATCTTACGAAAAGTTCTGCACAATTATTTGTGCATAATCCTACGAATGTCCAGCGATCAGTGCGCCTGCGCAAGCCCCTGCAGTGCAGAACTAAAAAAATGGCGGACATGGCTTTTATTCTTAGTGAAAAATGCAATATTTTAAGATAGTTTCGGCATTAAAATGCATTTTGATAACATTTATAGAGAAATGTGCATTTTATTTTCGTAATCTTTGCTCAGTAAATGTATATAATCTTTAGTTTGTTAGTTGTTACGAAGATTAGTTCAGGTCTCCCAACGTTTTCTATCGTTGCTATGGTGGTTGCTATGGTGGTTGCTATGTACACCCGAAAGTATTCTTTTAATTATATCTTTAACATTTCTCAACACAAAAACACCAAAGTGTGTGTTCTTGATAACTCAACAATACGATAGTTGGGCGCAGATACGCGCACCGGCGGTATTAACGCGAGATTTTGCTACCGAAATCCTCCGGTAGCACCCCCCCCCCCCCCCCCCCCCTCAACAATCGGGCAGACCCACTTTTAGTCATTATTTAGGCAATATAAGCCATTATTTAGGTAGCAAACACATATTACGGACACCTTCGACATCATTCAAAGCAGCCACTTTAATCTAGATTAACCTAGATTAATTTCAAGATTGCCATTAGATTAATCTAGATTAAATATTTTAATCTATGCCCATCTCTAATTGAAACCCAAGCATTTTAAATGGGGGATACTGATTGGCGGAGATTGTTGAACCCCACATGAAGGAAAGCTGATTGGCCAGCACGAAAAAGCCTGATACCGCTTGTCCATTGTGTGTGCTTCATTTTTTTGTGGCTAGGGCCCCTTATGACTTTTGGACCCCAAACTTGAGAACCTGGTCTCCATCCCACATGTGTTTACACACCTAAAAGCACAAGCTTCTATCTCTATCCCTCTGGAAATGGGGAACTTCAAACCTTCTAGGCCCCTATTCATGGTTTATTCTAGTAAGGGGCGTGGCTAGGGCCACTTTTGACTTTTGGACCCCAAACTTGGGAACCTGGTCTCCATCCCACATGTGTTTACACACCTAGAAAGCAAGTTCTGTCTCCATCCCACCGGAAATGGGGAACTTGAAACCTCCTGCCATTTTTCTTCCCAAATTATTCACTCCATTTGTTTTACCTTCTGATGACGTCTGATGGAAGGAAGTGGTGTAATTTGAGGTCAAGTACACTTGGGAGTGAGCTAGGGACCTGGCGTCTCTTTTATATGAAAGAGGGCCTAAAGGACATATCGACATATACACTATTGTATTGTTGAGTTATCAAGGACACACACTTTGGTGTTTTTGTGTTGAGAAATGTTGAAGATATAATTAAAAGAATACTTCCGGGTGTCCATAGCAACCACCATAGCAACGATAGAAAACGTTGGGAGACCTGAACGAATCTTCGTAATAACTAACAAACGGAGAGATCATATACATTTATTGAGCAAAGATTATGAAAATAAAATGCACATTTCTCGCTATTAATGTCATCAAAATGCATTTTAATGCCGAAACTATCTTAAAATATTGCATTTTCCACTGAGAATAAAAGCATATAGCACATAGGATTATGCACGAATAATTGTGCATAACTTTTCGTATGATATCGTACGAACGTTGTATGAGACCAGCCTGATTATTATTATTATTGAGTCATTTGAGCATTTTATTCCAAAGTGACTCACAGTGAGAATGCTAACAGGTTCCACCACAGACATTAGGGGATCGAACCCAGGACCTTTCACCTTGGAGTCCAACATCCTAGTCGGCACTTAGCCTGCACCCCGCCCCCTTGTCATCCTTGAATCAAATTAGCCAATAAATTAAATTAAACATGCAGTATTTGCTTGATTCACCTTGCGGCCATATTGGTTTGAATCACAAAACCTGATGGTTCTAAGCACTAGCTGGGTGGCGGGAACTGAATGCTCAATCTGCATTCAGTTGCCCCAGCTAGCGCTTAGAACCAACATGGCCGCTAGGAGAATAAGGCCCAGGGACATCATGCTAACTGTCTTACCTTTCCGTTTTTCCTCCCAGACAAATGACAAAAAAAGCTGGATAGAGCTGCCAATCACAGATCACTGTGATTATAACATCTCCATGACAGCAGTGTGTAACATGGATGGATACATGAGTGGATCCAATATAGTCTGTGGAAAGACGCCGCTAGGGCCGTGGCGAGTGTACGGTACGGCATGTGTGCCTTTCCTCTATTCACAAGTTCAGAAAATGCAATTAACGTTTCTATATTAATATAAATATTACGATTTTAAAGGTGTGTGATAATTCAGAAATTGGAACGCTGAGATGTTTTTATTGCCGTTTTTTTGTTTCCGCGTAAAGATGTCATTTTAAATTGGTACTGACATATAGTTCAAATTTTCATTTTCAACGTGTGTATGATTTATGTGCGCAGGTAAAAACGAAAACCTTCAGCCTTTGCTGCTGTTAATCCTCATTCCACTGATGGTGGCTGCGATGGTGGTGGTGACCTTAGACTGTTTCAGGAGGTACGGCAAATCATCTTCACTCAACTGACAAAAACCTCTACAAGCTGTTACAGCCAGAGCAGATGTTAAACGCTGTCGTGACAGAGCTTTCTCCCCGAGTGTGGCTGTGGTCGGAATCGCATACTAACAGACTATTCATGCTAAGTACAAAGTCGTATTGAGTAGGTAGTGCGTGCACACTGCATAGTATGTGGATTTTGTGTACGCGATAGAAATGCCCGGATGTAAACTAGATTAGCAAGAATTTCTGAGTATAATACTCAACTGCCCCACAATGCATTGCGTCTCTTCAGACATCACATCTCCGAAAATGTTGGGGCCAATTTCCCAGCAGGCGTCATTTAGGTAAACTGCCCACTCATTGGAAATCTACAGGGTGACTTTATTGACCGAAAAATATTAAAACCCAATAAATTGACTTTTAGCCTGCTTACCATGCTCTGCTATCGCTGCCGGTTGGTGCGAAATGCATTGTGGGATACTCGGATAACGGTCTGCTGGTATGTTTCTCCCTCTCCTCCATGCAGACACTACAAGACGATCTTCCCAAACGTTCCAAAACCTCAGGTCTTCCACCAAGACATGTTTCATAACAACGGTCCGGTAAGAAAGCAGCCGAGTGTGTCCTGGAGTCCGATTGGCTCAGCTGAGTTGCTGATAATAACCAGGGTTGAGCCCCCCCCCTCAGGGTGTTTATAAAAGACACACCGTCTTTTATTGACCACGGGAATGACATGCAGATAGTCACACATGACATTTCAAACTTTGGGGGAAACGGTGGTTGGAAAAGTGGTTTGAGACACAGTAGATGTTACTTGTGCAACAGGCAGATGACATAAGTGCCCAGTATGTGTGTTGTATTACAAGTAGAAGTGGAGTTTTGTTCTGTTTCACATGCACGTTATACATTTAACTTAATGTCTATATTTATTTAACTCCCTATTATCCTATAAATCGAACCTGCTTATATTCAGTATGTTTTAATAACCTGGAAATGTTCAACTATAAGCCACACGTTTTGTCCTATTAAAAACCAGTGACTCATGCTTGGAAAGGGCCCTTTTCACAGTAGGAATAACACAGATGAAGCTCATAACCTGAATTATGGGTGCGTTTCATTTAGGTACGGCGGTGCACAGGTATCGACACAACCAGTTCAATAAATGAACGTTGACCATGCTGGTGCTGCGACGGACATAAATAAAACTGACTTAATGTTAAAATGACAGGAACAGTTACTTTACCCAGCTATTGACAACCTGTAAAAAGGCTCTATTATAAGTGTAACCCAGCTCGGCTATGGTATGTATGTCTGTTTATTGTTTATTTCTGTATTTTATTTTGTGAAACCAGGGTCCCGTGAAGATGTATGTTCCAGAGCAGGAAGAAGAGCCAGAAAACGTCATGTTCATCCTGGAGCCAGAATCCAGATGACACCGCTTGGCCTGAAGCACCAGATGGGATATATATATATATATTTTTTTTAAATAAATAAAAAAAAAAATATATTGTTTATTTTATAGTTTTGTTATTTTATAGTTTTTTTCGTCTTTTTGCTCATCTTGTTTATGCTATGCTTTCAATATATGTGTATTTTACTTAAAAATAAAAAAATATGCACATCTTATTAACTGCTGGGACATTTGTTACAACAATGAATAGTTTTTTTTTTTTTTTTCCAAACATGCCATATGAATTTGA